TGTGTATATGTTCCACCATCAGTCGCCAAAGATGTATCTGCCATAGTCCGCTTCCCACTGCTAAAATTTGGTTTGAAGTAGTTTTTGGTGTTATCGAGTACCGTTTGAGATTTCGACCCTGAGAATAGTTTCGTATGGTGATTTAATACTTGCGTGCAATATTTGGTGTCATTTCGAGAAAGTCTAAGTATGATTCGGCGCGTTCGGAGCAAGTTGAAAACTTGAAGTTCATAATTTGATTCAATTTGGTTTTGGAGTACGATTCTTAGTTTCGATGTTGTTTTATGCGTTTTGAGAGTTTGAGAAGGTCCATATCATATTTATGGACTTGTTGGTGTAATTGGATGGATTCCCAAAAGGCTCGGATGTGTTTCAGACCGCCCGGAGTTAAGTTGGAAACGCTAGAAATTTCTGTTCTGGTTTCCTTCTTCGCGAATGCGGAGAAGTAATCGCGTTCGCGATGAAGGAATGGGGCTGGGTAGAGTTTTCCCTACGTGTTCGCAAAATGAAAACCGCGTTCGCATTGCTCTGGGCCACTGGCCTTCACGTTCGCGCTCAGGCCTTCGCGTTCGCGAAGTGAGAGGCCAGCCAGGGAGGGGTCAGTCGATGGCCTTCGAGTTCGCGTTGAGGCCATCGCGTTCGCGATGGGCAAGTTTGCTAAGCCTTCTCTTTCGCGTGACTTTTCTCGCGTTCGCGAAAGGCATTTTTCTGGGCTGGGCCTTTTTGGCCTTCGCGACCGCAAATGCCCTATCGCATATAAAGACCCTCGGGCAGAAACATTTTTAAAATGGGACTTAGACCCATTTTTCTTATTTCTCACTTGTGTGGTCCGAATTCGGAGCTTGTTGGAGAGGGGTATTCACTTAGCTATTGAAGGTAAGTAATTCTTACCAAATATAAGGTTAATACCGAGATTGTGGGTAGATTTTAACATTTAAAATTGTAAAAATTATGGGTTTAGTTGAAACTTTGATAAAAATGGGATTTAACAACGAAAATGATTATAGAATTGGGTAAATTTTATATATTTGAGTTCGTGAGGTCATGGGTAATATTTATCTTCAAAAATTTTCATAATCCGGGCACGTGGGCTTGGGGATAAATTTTAAGAATCTTTAAATTTGGGTTCGGTAATTACTCTAATAGTAAAATTATGAATTTGTAGTGTATATTGATTAATTTATATAATATTTGGCTAATTTCGGGTTGTTTGGCACCCAGTTGAGAATTTTGAGCGGATTTGTGAATCGGTAGTGAGCTTGAGAACTAGGTAAGTCTCTTGCCTAACCTTGTAAGAGGAAACTCAACCCCTTAGGTGTATCTTGTTGTGTACTACTTGAGTTGGGAGCTATGTATGCACTAGGCGACGAGAGTCCGTGCGTAGCTATATTCCATGAGATGCCCGGGTAGTCTTAGATCCACATCATGCTTTAATTGTATTGTTATGTTTGTTATACATATTAATTGTCTTAAATAGAGCTGAGACTAGGGATTTTAAGGTTGCAAATTTTCAATTTAGATTTCTTATTTTTTGGGAAGAATTGAGGAATACATAATAACACTGAGAAATCCATGTCAACTCGCGTCGCAAGTACTTCCGCGAGCGAGGTAAACTTCTCTCCTCTCATGGGAGCGGGCTATTCGCGCTCGGTAGTATAATAGATGCATCTATTTTTCGTGTCGTTGAACTCTCAGCAATGCACACAGTATTTTGAATCAGGCCGTACGACCTCAGTATAAATCATGCGTGATAATACTCGCAACCCGATTTCACCTGATATTATGTTATGGCTTAAGAGGTTATAATTTATTTGATGACCGAAATTGATTTAGAACTAATATGTGTTATATGGAGATTTTAGAATTTACTATCAGTTAAAGGATCATTTATTCACTGCTTGCTATTGTGTTATTTTTATAATTCACATATTCCATGCCTATTTAGAATTTCTATATTTTATTATTGGCTCATATATAGTAAGTGTCAATGTCGACCCCTCGTCACTACTTCTTCGAGGTTAGACTGGATACTTATTGGGTACAGGTTGTTTATGTATTCACGCTACACTTCTGCACTAATCGTGCAGGATCTGAGGCAGGTGCATCTGGCAGTCATCCCGACGCGCACCCCCGTTACCCCGAGGCTTAGTGGTGAGTTATTCTTTGAGGCCGTTCTGCAGCACCCACAGTCTCTCTTTCGTATTGACATTCTGTCTACCCTATTTCAGACAATAGCTTAGTGTTTTGTATATTCTAATAGTTGCCCATACACTTGTGACACCAGGTCTTGAAAACATGCTAGAGACACTTTATGGCTTTTGAGCATTTATTTCACTACATTTTCTCTTTCATTAGTTTTCGCTTTACTTTATTAATTTTTTTCACTTCTCATTCACTTAATTAATTAAAAATTGACTACTTTGGAATTTGTTTTAAAAAGAATAGATACATGACTAACTCACCGTTGGCTTGTATAGCGGCGACATTGGGCGCCATCACGACCTATAGGAGAAATTGGGTCGTGACATGTATAATCAATGTATAATCTATGTATATGGCTAGAAAAAGCAAACAAAGAATATGGACGATTATTTGTTTAAAGAAAAACCCTAAAATGCCACATGAAAAATCTCTCCTTTTGTTCCTTTTTGGGACTCCTTTCCGATAGAAAATGTAAACAATCTTTTTAGCCTTTCTTATTTCTTAAATCATTAATTCTTAATGTTATTAAATTTTATGAATGTAAAAATAGGTCCAAGAAAGGTAGAAGCAAAGCCATGCCAATACAACTTCGGCGTTTGTGTCAGTGGTAACACTTGCAACCAAAAGTGCCAAGGCGAGGCCTTTGATGGAGGACGTTGTCATGGGGTTCGTCGTCAATGCTACTGCTACAGGACTTGCTAGTTTCCCTTACTACTTTATAGTGAAGTATATAATGGTTTAAATAAAATGTAATAATGCTCATTATCTTTTTTCTTTTCCTATATGGTTTATTACCATGCTACCGTTTTAATAAAAGTGATCCTTTGGTCTATCCATGTGTCTTACTTACTGTATGTGTCAAAATTTGCCCTAGAATATTTAAGATAAGATAACGCTAAAGAAAAAATTCTCGAGCCGTCATTTGTCGAGGTAGACCAGGAAGCAACGAGACTCATAGTCGAAGAGTCGATGAGAGCCGTGGTCGACATGTGAATAATGGTCGAGGTCGAGCACCATTGATGAAGTTGGAACAACTAGTTTTCGAAATATGGATATTCTAGAGAATATTCTAGTGAATATTCTCAGCACTTGTACTATTAGGATTTATTAGGAAAATGTCTCATATAATTAGAAAAAGAGACAATGATATGAGGCATGTGATACTCATTTGCAAGAATAGACTATAACAAAAGATTATCTCTCTTACTAAGATACAAACACTATATTTTCATCAAGATTCTTGTCTATATTATTCCATACTTTTTCTTTAGATCTGGAAATACTTCGAACATTCAAGGATTAGTCTATCACTCATCATTGTCAGGAGGAATAACCATCTAGCTCATCCTTTATTGGGTGAATCACTATTCCTATTTACTTAAATGTCATTTATTGTTATTCATTGTTATAAAATGCTACATTATAGCTCATACTTTTTGGAATAGTTATTGCATATTATTATTACTTTTCTACCAGATCTATTCGATGCTAATCACGCTTTCGAAGGCCACATCTAGAAATATGATTATTAACTAGGTTTAACCTATTATCACATAAATTTAATTATTTCAACCAAAAGTTATACTTTTTGGTCAAACAATTTGGTGCCGTGTGTGGGGATTTTCTTGTTAAAGCTTTTAGTTTCTTCTAGATCTACAACTATCACGAGTCACTGACGTAAAAAACAAAAAACAAGCAAAAACGAGATCTCCTTTCTTTGTGTGCACAAATCCCAACATGGTAGGTAAACGAGAAGAAAGGATGAGAATCCTCCCAACTAACCTCATGAATATCATCAATGAAAGCTGTGAAATGACAGATGAAGGCGCGACACCTAGTGCCTCCCCTAGGCGAGATGGGTCACCGCCTCCTCACTACAGCATCACAAAATTTCTTGGTAAGGGAGCCTCCACATATGTGGGGGAAGAGATTCCCTCAGCTGTAAAAAAAAAGCTCCTCAAAGCATGGCTAACTGACACGCTAAACAACATTCTCAACAATCCCACTCGGGACACTACCATAGAGAATGCAAGGACATGCATGATACGGCAAGCGGACGAGCAATGCAACCATCTTCTTCCCCCAACGATAGGTATTACTCACAATGTCATTGATAGAGCAGGTGACAACGCCCTTCCAGCCATTCTGAAAAGGATGGAAGAAATGGAGAATGAGAACAAGGCACTCTGAGGTTAAATGAATGAGCACCGGGAAATGGTTGACAAAATAACGGGCGCCCCCAAGCTGTTGCCGAAGAGGGATGCCAGACGGTTCGTCAAATAGTCGTACAGTGATGACGCAGCCCCGCATGTCATACCAAAAACCTTTAAAATGTCACCCTACCTCAGGATATATGATTGCACAACCAACCCTGAAGATTACGTGGCTCATTACATCACTGCCATAAAAGGCAACGACCTCGCCAAAGAACATGTGTCTTCCATCTTACTGAAGAAGTTCGGCTAAACCCTCTTAGGCGGGGCATTAACCTGTTATTTGCAACTACCATCACGCTCCATTGAAATCTTTGAAGAAATGGCCAACAAGTTCGTAACGGCCCATGTCGGAGCCAAGAAGGCCGAGGTAAGAGTAAACGACATATTTGCTATTAAACAGTCTCTGGCAGAGGGACTGAGGGACTTTCTCGCTCGGTTCAACCGATTAAGGATGACTTTGCCCAACATATCCAAAGGGATGGCGGTCACATCTTTTTAGAATGGGCTGAGTAGGGGTGGTTCGAGAGCAACTAGGAAACTATTGAGTCGGTTGATGAAGTACCCCCAACCACTTGGGATGAAATGCACAATGCTTATTGTGCCAAGGTCTGTGCAGATGAAGACGATCTCAATAGGCCAACACAAAGACTAACTTTGGTACAAGCCAAAATAAGAAAGGATCGAAACGACAACGCCAGAAGAGATCATCCAACCCCACGACCTAACAGAGAACGACATCAACCATATGCCAGGGAGGCCATTGCGCCCTATCCCCGCTACGAAGAGGGTCCATCCAGACCAAGGATAGGAACTCGAAACGACCGAGGTATGCCTACTTTATTATATGCTCATAATTTTTGTGTGTCACCTACAGAGATGGTCTACGCTATGGAGAAACTCAGACCGGAAGTGAAGTGGTCGCCAAAGATGAGATCGGACTCAAACACAAGAAAGTCCGACGCCCTCTGCGAGTTCCACCAGGAACGAGGACACAAAACTGAGGATTGCATCACCCTTAGGCAAGAAGTCGTAAACATGTTACGACAAGGTCACCTCAAAGAGCTGCTGAGCGATAGGCGAAGAACCAACTTCGCCAGCGGATGCGAACATCACGGACCACCAAAACCACCCTCACCAGCTCGAACCATTAACATGATCATCAGTGGCAGTGATGACATTTCCATCAATAACATGAAGTTCAGCACCACCCACAAACTCAAGCGATCAATCACCCACGAGTGGTACAACGAACCCGAAGAAAGTATTATCTTTGATAAGTCAGACGCCGATAGTTTGACCTTTGCTCATAGTGATGCCCTCATTATTATTTTACGTATTTTGGATACTGATGTTAAATGCATTATGACAGATGATGGGAGCGGCGCATGCATTATCCATCCATGAGTGCTCACCCAAATGAGACTCGAAGACAAGATAGTGTCGTGTTGCATCACGCTAACTAGTTTTAACAATAGAATTGAGCAAACATCAGGAGAAATCACACTCCCAGTATTAGCTGGCGGCGTGACTCTAGAAATGACATTTCACAACATGGACCAAGACACTGAGTACAACACTATAGTGGGACGACCATGGATACACCCCATGAAGGTTGTCCCCTCCAGCTTATACCAAGTCATCAAATTTCTAACTCCATGGGGAGTGTTCAGCATACGAGAGAGCAGCGTACGTCCTGGGAGTGCTACCACATTGCTTTAGACAGCACGACCACTCAACAAAGGAATGACAAGGAAAAAGAGGCATAGCATTCTGCTGGGTCAAGGTGAAGGCATGACGAGATCAAGGAAGGTATCAAAGAGCCCAACATAGTCGAAGCCACAAGATTGACCATAGAAGACCTCGACCCCATTAAATTAGATCCCTGCAACCATAGAAAAAAGGCCTATATCGGTTGCAAACTCCACGACCTATGTAAATTCAGTCAATTCTTAAAAGCTAACACAGATTTGTTTTCTTTCAGCCATGCAGCTATGCCGGGAATCCCAAAGGAAATTGCCACGCATAAATTAAATGTCGACCCCTTCCACCCCCTGGTGAGGCAGGTCAGACGTAAATTCAACTCCGCAATCAACGACGCAGTATGCGAGAAAATGGAAAAACTGCTGAAAAATGGTTCCATAAGGGAGTCAAAGTACCCCAAGTGGGTCGCCAACGTAGTAATGGTTAAAAAGAATAATGGGAAATAACGGATATGCATGGACTTAACAGACTTGAACAAAGCATGTCCAAAGGACTCATTCCCGCTACCTCACATTGACCAACTCATCGACGCAACGATCGGACATGAGCTGCTAAGTGTTTTGGACGCTTACTCAAGCTATATTCAGATCTTCATGGAAGAGGAAGATCAACAAAAAACCACGTTCATCACCCACCAAGGAACGTACTACTACAGGGTCATGCCTTTCGGACTAAAGAACACAGGGGCGACTTATCAAAGGTTGGTGACGAGGATGTTCAAAGATCAGCTCGGTAAGACAATGGAAGTATATATAGATGACATGCTGGACAAGTCCATAAGGGGAGAAAATCACATCGATCACTTGAAAGAAACTTTCGACATACTCATACGGTGCAGAATGAAACTGAACCCAGAGAAGTGTGTGTTCGGCGTGGCCTGAGGAAAGTTTCTAGGTTTCCTCGTATCACAACGAGGGATCGAGGTCAACCCTGACCAAATTAAAGCCATTGAGGGAATGCCCAAACACCTGACCACCAAAAAACATGTCCAAAGGTTGACTGGCCGCATCGCTGCCCTATCAAGGTTCATCTCGCGGTAGTTAGATAGGTGCCATAAATTCTTTGGCATACTTAAGAAAGATAACGACCTCCAATGGACTTTGGAGTGTGTCCATGCTTTGAGGGAACTAAAGGCATACCTATCATCGCTGCCCTTGCTTTCAAAACCAGAGCCGAGGGAGCATCTCCTCGTTTATCTAGCTGTATCCAAAGTAGCTGTGAGCGCATTCCTAATTCGAGAAAACAAAGATATGAAATATCCCATCTATTACATTAGAAAAACACTAGTCAATTCCTAGACGAGGTACCCGCACCTCGAGAAACTGGATTTTGCCTTAGTAGTAGCTTCACGGAAGCTTAGACCGCATTTCCAATGTCACCCCATCTTGGTCGTCACGACTTTCCCCCTAAGAAGCATTTTACATAAACCCAAGCTATCGATCTAAGCGAGCACAATATCACGTACCAGCCGCGAACGTTGATAAAGTCACAAGTGCTCGCTGAATTCGTCGCCGACTTCAGCGCAAAAATAATGCTTGAAGTCAAAAGGAAAGCCGTTCAAACTTCCCCCAAAACACAAGACCTCTAGGTCTTATACACCAACGACGCGTCCAACGCGTCAGGGTCCGGACTAGGACTCTTACTCCTAGTCCCAACAGGCAAAGTAATTCGCCAGTCCATAAGGTGCCCGGACATGACTAACAACAAGGCCGAGTATGAGGCCGTCACTGCAGGTTTGAGACTAGCACTCATGTATGGGTCAAAATGGTTAAAACTATGATGTAATTCCCAGCTCGTAGTCATCTAAGTCACAGGGGCTTTCCAAATCAAGTAATAAATATTGCAAAAATACCAATTCAAAATCTGCAAGCTGCTACCCGAGTTCGACGAATGTCAGCTCGACAAAATTCCATTGAGTACAGAACGCCGAGAAAGATGGCCTCGCTAAACTAGTCACAGTCACCAAAAGCATCACAACAGGAGACAAAAACGTGGTCCATCTCCTCAACTCATCGCTAGACCAAGTCGAGGTAAGAACTATTAACTTAACTTAGGACTGGCGCAATCGTATTATCGCATACTTGTAGGACGGCACACTCCCAGGCGATAAAAAAGAAGCCAAGAAACTGAGAATGTAAGCATCCGGATACAATATCCTCCATAACTACCTGTACAAGAGAACTTATGGCAGCCCTTTAGCAACGTGCCTGGGCCCAAACCAAACTCGGCGCGTCCTTGAAGAAATCCACGAAGGCCACTGCGGGGCACATTCCAGGAATCGAGCACTGGTCCGACGCCTCATACGGGCAGGATATTACTGGCCCACCATGAAAAACAAAGCTGCAGATTTTGTGAAAAGATGTGAACAATGCCAGAAGTACGCTCCAATGATTCACCGGGAGGGTGAACACCTCCACTCGGTCACCTCACCTTGGCCATTCATCAAATGGGGAATGGACATCGTAGGCCCCCTCCCGGCAGGACGAGGTAATGTATGATTCCTTTTTGTTTTAACTTACTATTTCTCTAAGTGGGTGGAAGCAGGAGCCTTTGCCCAAATATGGTAACATGAAGTAATCACCTTTATATGGAGAAATATCATATGCGGGTTTAGCTTTCCCAAAGAAAGCAGTTGCGACAACGGACCCCAATTCACGGGAAAGAAAACCGCCAAATATTTTGAGAAATGGCATATCAAAAGAATACTCTCAACCTCGTACCACTCCGCGGGCAATGGACAAACAAAGTCCTCCAACAAATCGATACTAAACATCATGAAAAAGAACCTTGTGGACGCCAAAGGACTGTGGTCGGAAGTCCTACCAGAAGTATTGTAGGCATACCAAACAACTCCGAAAATGAGCACAAGAGAGATGCCCTACTCTTTGGTCTACGGGACCGAGGTGGTAATTACCAGTCGAGGTTGGAGAGCCCAGTCTAAGGTACTCCCACGAGAGTGGCACAAGCAACGACGAGGGCCGAAGTCAGGAACTCAATGAAGAGATATGGCTTATATAAGAATGATCGCCCATAAACAGCAAGCAGAGTGCTATTATAACAAGAAAGCAAAGGTCAGGCCGCTCAAAGTCGGGGACGACATACTGAAAGCTAAAACTCAAGAGAGCAAAGATCCCAGGGAAGGTAAGCTGGGAACAAATTGGGACAGTCAGTACAAAATCACAACAAAAACAAATAATGGATCATTTCAACTAGAAACAATGGAAGGAAAGCTACTACGAAACAACTGGAATATCAACCACCTCAAATACTTCAACTTCTAAAAGAAAAAGTGTGCCCCAAGTCGTACTCTTTTTTCCCTCACTTGAGTTTTGTCCCAGTTAGGTTTTCTCAAGGAGGTTTTTAATGAGGCAATGAAGGGAACACTCCAAATCGAAGTACGCGAAGGCAAAGCCCTGGTTACTATTCCATTGCTCGACCTCTCACTACTCTCCAGATCGACCAATAAAGGGACTAGATATACCGGGACAGGGACTAGGATTGGAACGCTAGCCAACACCAAAAATCTGTAAATTTCTCCAAGTATGTAACAAATGCAACAATGTCAAGGCAATAAACTTTACACTTACCAACACACTTATCTTAAATTCAGGCTATGTTTGACACTGTTCGAACTAACACCTACCGGCCCTCGACCATGATTAAATTCAGGTTATGGTCGACCTAGTTCGAACTAACACCTACCAGCCCTTGTCCATGATTAAATTCAGGTTATGTTCAACCTCGCTCGAACTAACACCTACCGACCCTCGACCATAATTAAATACTGGTTATGTTCGACCTTGCTCGAGCTAACACCTACCGGCCCTCGGCTATAATTAAATACAGGTTATGTTTGACCTTGCTCGAACTAACACCTACCAACCCTCGACCATAATTAAATACAAGTTATGTTCGACCTTGCTCGAACTAACATCTACCAGCCCTCAGCCATAATTAAATACAAGTTATGTTCGACCTTGCTCGAACTAACATCTACCAGCCCTCAGCCATAATTAAATACAAGTTATGTTCAACCTTGCTAGAACTAACACCTATGTGCCCTCGACCATAACTAAGTTTGGGTCGTGTTTGACCTCATTCAAACTAACAGTTGGCCCTCGGCCACAACATTAAATGAAAAGTTATGTTCGACCTCACTCGAACTAACAGCTATCCCTCGGTCGCAACACTAAATACAAAGTTATGTTCGACCTCATTCGAATAAACACCTACCGGCCCTCGGCCACAATCTAAAGAAAGATCACAACCAAACAAGTCGACGACCTCGGCCACATTCCGACGTACAAGCAGAGAAGTAAAAAAACATATAATTACAAAAAGCAAACCACATGAAAAGAAACAGATGCGGATAACAAAGTTGGCATTTCATACTTAAAAATATTTTTTACAAAGGCTCATGAAGACGCCGCCAAAAATAAACAAAAGCTTACAAAAATGAGAAGAAGAAAAGACTATTGAGCACCACTATCACGATCCTCTGCTCCGTCACCGCCTTGGCCACCAACACCCTCGTCACCGTCGCCTTTGCCCTCCGGGTATGCGGTATCGTACCATGCAGCCTCCTCAAGCCGATGCACACCTTCGTCATCACCGTCACTGGCCTTAGATGTAGCAGGATCATA